ACACCAACCAACCTACACAACGCACACATGCTCAAGCACACGCACCAGCTACACAACACCACTAAATTTATATATATAATTAACTACTAATAACATATACTTTAACAATCATTATCATCTCATGTACGGCCATCTCACTATAGCTTAATATATGTGTATGTGTGTGGTGTTGATAGTGTACGCTCTTGTGCTCGATTGATGTTCTGTGTGTATCATTCTAAAATGATTAGTTATGATCGACCTATTGCTGTATAGTTTGGATATTGCTAATCCTCTTTTTCTTGTGCTCTCCTCAGATGTGTTCTTTTTTGTGTTGTCTCCGCTTATTCGCGCTGTGTTGTTCTGCATGCGAGAATTGATTTTCTCCAATAAATAAAAGGAAAGATGAGGAATTTTAATAGGTCTCTAAGGAGTAACACACCCTACTCACCATATAATTATCGTTAATTATCTAATTAATCCTAGTAATTCAATCTCTCTAGGAATTATATAACCCATGTAAGATATGACCCTCCAGTCCCAAAAATACATCACGCTTAACACTATACACTTTAAATTATCCATATTATGCATTACGTTCATAAATTATTAATAACACACACATTCATACACATAACACACACACGCATACGAAACTGAAACCTCAAACAAATATTAAAACTATATAAAAAACAAAAATCAAATACACCATACCAGCAAAACAAAAGAAAACTTTGCTCAAATTACTATATAAAAATTAAGGCATAAGAACAATGAACCCCAGTGGACCAATTATATAAGATATGAAGAAAACAGGGACTTTACAGTGTTACTACTTTATTACCATTCTACTCTGACGAGTACTCTGTTCATATCATCTTTTTTACTCTCCTACTCAATTATTATTAATATATAATCACTGTTACCCGGGGGTAGGGTAGGGGTATTTAGGGTAGGGGGATCTTTATTTTTTTTTTTTTTTTTCTGGGCTATATAAAGGGTTTATGAGTGAGCCCTGTTTGGTTTGTTGTTTGTTTAGTTCTGTTTAACGCCATTATCCGCGATGCGCTAGACCGGGTCCGGCTGGTGAGAGTTGCAGAAATTGATAAGATGATAACATAGATGATGATAGATGTATTAAATATGCGTTGGTGTCTTGATTCTATCTTTAACCCGTGGGGCTGGTTTATTGACATATCAGATATCATCATCCGTGTGGGATAATAATACAAATTCATACTTACTGACCACCACCATTAGACACCAACAACACACATACAGCATACGAACCATAAACATGTACATAATGTGACAACGATGAGAAAAGAGAAGAAAGGTATTATGGTAGAGGGAGAGAGAGAGAGATAGATATAGAGGTCGTGTGAGTACAGAGAATAAGATAACAAGGCTGTCTGAAGAAACTGAGAGATAGATAGATAGATAGATAGATAGATAGATAGATAGATAGATAGAGAGAGAGAGAGAGAGAGAGAGAGAGAGAGAGAGAGAGAGAGAGAGAAGAGAGAGAGAGAGAGAGAGAGAGAGAGAGAGAGAGAGAGAGAGAGAGAGAGAGAATGTGGATGCGGTGCAAGTAAACAAAGCTGAGTCTTTCAATGTACAAGCACGTGTACTGTTACTCTACCTACTGTCCATGCAAGAGCGAAACAAGCGAAGGCTGCAGAGCGCGCCCCTTCCCCGCATGCCATAAAACGATTCAAGTTTCTCACGCAATAAAACCTTCATCGTCATCGGTCGGCCTTTCAACACAATTCACCAATGGCCAGATTCGGTGCATTGTGACCCGCCTGGCTGGTCGCCATCACGATATCACATATGCAACTACCACAACCCGACACAACAATGACCCGTCGTTGGATCAGCGAAAAAAATAAAATAGTCCGTGGCGTCGACCCATACAAACACACAAAAAAACACCAGAACACAATCAACGTGTCACTTTCTTCTGTCAGCTCGCGGAGTTTGCTTGCGTGTGCGGGTGTGCGTTTTCCACCTGCAGTTGTGGCACTCTGGTCTCCCTCCAGCGGCGAGCAGTGCCAAGCTGGACGGTGAGGCTCGGAATCCACACTGCCTGCCTCTCCCCTGACCCCGCGCCGGGGTGTGTACGTATGTCGATGCGAGGGAGCGGGAGGGAGGGGCTCGCTGCCACCTCGAGGCCGATTCTTTCGTTTTTTCTCTCTTTCTTTTTCTTTCTCTTTCTCGTTTTCTTTCTTTCATTCTCGCTCTCTCTCTCTCTCTCCCTCCCTCACTACTCTTTCTTTCACTCTCACTATCCTTTCTTTCACTTTCCCTCATCTTTCGCTCCCCCACTCTCTCCTCTTTCTCTCACTTTACCGTAATACTTTTCCTCTCCCCTTTTCTCCTTCCCCTCTTCACTTCTCCTCTTTTCCTCTCCATAACTTCTCTTCTCTACTTGTCTTCTTTCTTTTTTTCTTCTCTCTCCCTCTCCTACTATCTGCCTATTCTTTCCTCTTCTCCTGTCTTCTCTCGTTTCCTCTTTCCCTCACCCCGAACCCCGCTTCTCTGCTTCTTCCCCTCACTATTCCTTATTCCTTCATTCTTAAAAGCCTTCCCTCCCCTCCTCCCTTCTATTTCTCTTATTCGTACTTTACAAGCTAAAGCCCCGGCCTACAATATACAGTAGACAGTGAGCCAAAGATTCACTGACAAGCGAAACCACCGAAGCAAATGAGAATCTCCCAATATACCGTATATATTTATGCATTTCCTTCTGCTTCACTAAACCCCGACACATTCGTGATCTAATTCGAGAACTCGGAACACATGCCTGCCAGCTACGACGCATTAATACAGGTAATTAAATTTCAAATTTCGGATTGACCAAATTAAACTCGGATCATTACATGAACGCACAGTCAGTCCGTTAATCCGAAACTTAAGTGTGGGATAGAGATAAGCATCCAAGGTAAACAATCAGGATAATCAATCACTTTATAATTAAGATATTCAATTAATCAACTTCAAATGCTTTCCAATTAATCAACGCAATGGCGCTATGGACTGCGAAATAAAATGACATATTTTTCCATAATTTAAGCACTGATTTATCTTTGTGAGCGCGGTATCTGAACTCGTGGAATTAAGCTTGATAAAAATACCGGACGATATCTTCTCAATTGGCAGATGTGATTATGGAAATTTCGTCATTTGATTACTACAGAAGTCTACTAGCTCGTGCGTCTGGCTTATAACACAGCTGTATAGACACAATGTACCTGCCAATATTATCAACTTCCTTTACTTTGCAATCCTTTTTTCGACAAGCTCACCTACTTATCTTTTATTTCACTGACTGGCATATAACAGCATATTAAACTATACTGACATTTCACTTGATTATAATCTGTAATTCATTGCACATAATTTAAAATCTAACAACAAACTTATTTTTTGACCCAAAATCACACAATTTACTACGAACATCATGAGAAGTTTAAGAAGTGATTTTTCATGTCTTTCAATAAAAGAAATCAGTGGTGATTAGTAGGCTACCTTGATGTGATTTTTCATGTCTTTCAATAAAAGAAATCAATCAAGGTAGCCCACTAATCACCACTATCTCTTTCTTCATTTCTTCTTCACTGGTCCTGTGACTCAAAGCAGTATATATTGACCACATCTCCCAAACACATTTCTCTTCAATGAGATACTATGATATTTAAAAATGTCTTTATGAAGAACTTCCTCTAACTCCTAGCAAACATATATCCTAGAAACAATCTCTCATAATATAGAAACAAATGATGATCTACTTCATGCAAATGATACTGCTCTTCTCTTTTGTGTTTGAAAACCAAATAACACTCTCGAACAAGGTCTAGAAAAGCATACAGACCTTGCTCCCGAACAACCCTCCAACTTTTGTCAAAACTCTCATCCAAACAAATATCACTTTTCACCCAGGGTTTTCAATATATAAAAATGTTTACTATGACCCTAGATTTCCTTGTACCTCGGAAAAAAATGTTTAAATCTACTTTACCTAAAGTGTGTGACAAAATGTAGTAAAATAATTTGTAATACTTCTAGTATGTTGTATTTAGACACAAGAATTGTAACATCCTCCTCTTTCGATTATTATTATAACTTAGTAATGAAAAACCCTTTTACAGATAAAAGCATAGGGAATTTTTTTTACAAATTTTCACAATTAATAAAAACTAAAGGATACTACAGAAGGTAACTTTCAATTAATGTAATGAAATCTATTTATCTACGGAAACATGTTAACTATGATCCAAGATTTCCTTGTACATGAAGAAATTTTTATATCTAAATCATCTAGTGTGTGACTAGTAGCAAAATAACTCCCTATATTTCTAATATGTTGCATTCAAATGCAAATACTGTAACAACAGCATTTTTTCATTATTGAAAATAAATATATAATTATGGCTTTATAATGGAAAGCATTTTAGAAATAAATAGTATAGGTAAAAATACTTTACCAAATTATTTCTAATAATACTAAATACTAAATTGTAATAATACTAGGAGGTAAGGAGGTTACAATAAATGAAATGAAATCTGCTTAGCTAGGTTAAAGGTGTCTAGAACCTATTACCATATAAATATATTTATGTGATAAAATGTATGTTCATATGTAATATGCAAATATTGAAAACACTGCTACCTTCTATCAATATAAATTTTGCCTAATGAGGTACACTGACTATAATATGTTAGTGAGCAGGAAGTTTCTCTTTGACATAATAATACCTCTGGCAAAATTCCAGATAGATATTTACCAATGCAGTAGATCAAATACACTGGCAGAAAACCCCATAATGCACAAACCAGACCCGAAGATGGAATCGAGGACGATTCCGAAACTGTTGTCTCACTTTCTTCAATAAATCTAGTTTGTGCATTGTGGGTTTTTCTACCATAGTATCAACATGGTAGAGTGTTTTTCATTCATCAAATACACTCTAAAGTGGATGTTGTTGATATTACTACACAGAACAAAAGTCTGTACTTACCTCTGACTCCATCGGAAGAGTTGTCCTCCTCAGGTTCATTGAAGGAGGTCTTCCTACTGCCTGCTCGTCTTCTGGGTGAGGAGCCAGGAGTCAAGCCCTGGAGGACCTCCCCAGCGTTCCGTAACACAGCTTCACGAGCTGCTCGGAATCCACTCGCTGTCATCAAAATCAAGCATTAGTTAGAAATGAAAATAATGCATCTTGTATTATGTGCTGGAATAACTAGGAAGTTCACTTACAGAAGGAGTGTGATCTGGTCTACATTTTACAAAGCTGGTTACATAGAGTAGGCCATTACAGAGAATTCCTTCCTGACAAAGCAACATTTTACAGTATATGAGGAATATATTTGGAAATTACTTTGGAAAAGGGTATTATGAAGGACAAATCTGTTTCTTAAAAAAAGAAAAGATAAAAAAATGTAATGACCATATTTATGTCTTCAGCTTAGTGCATAACAAAAATCATTCAGAATATTCAGGTCTAGACAAAGAGATTGGTCATGTATGTAAAGTAGGCACCTTAGAGCTACTAAATTCAGTATGACAGAATTTGAAGAGAAAATAATGTACATCATAAACACTGGATTTCCTAAACAGGATGAACCATGTATTCAGGCACAAGTGTAATACACATATACATGAATTATAGACGTAGCATAATCTACATACAGTATAAATAATTAAGCCAAAAATGCCTTTTCTTTTGAATATATCTATATAATATTATCTACATAATTCTGTCTAACAGTTTTATGAATTCACATTTTGTTTTCTTTAGGTCAGTGCCTTTCAATGGAAGAGCAGTTTCATAAAAAAAGTCAAATAGTTATATTCCCTCTTTCCTGGCATATTATGCTAATATGTCTTATTCAGCTACGCATTCTTGGTCATCTGAGTATTCTGATTCTTTTAACATGGTGAAGGTAGGTTTCAGTGGATGACACTAAGACAGTTTTTAAAGACAGAGACAACAAACTGAAGGAAAGAGACTTCACAGACATTACAAGGGAACATGATATTAAATTTAACAGATCATGTTCTTGCAAAACTCATTACTTGACAGACAATGTAACCTTTTGTTTCTTGACAGTGGCAGAACATGTAAGGCTATTTCTATAAAATCATGCAGTCCCAAAAATATGCACAGCAGAAAAAGATGCCTTCCATGTTTTGCAGTCTTTATGAATATCACACACATGTGATGATCAAACATGGTGGGGTAGCTAACAAGCACAGCATTCAACAGCCTACAGATCATGCTATTTATGCCTCTATTCTGAAACAGCTTTTGTGTTGTTATCAGACAAGGAAGCAAAATCTTTGTATAAGCAAATCGGCAATCATAAATCAAATAAATAAACAAATGCAAAAAAACAAAAACATACTCGTCTGATACACACACATATATATTTGCATATATGAATTTCTCAAGAGCGGTTTCAAAAATATGTTGGGCACGTAGGTTTCAGTGACGATTAGGATTTCACTATGAGGTTGGAGAGCTTGTTAGTACCTAGGTCCTGCTCCTCAGTGGGGGTTCCTGCAGTTGGGGGGGTCACAGCCTGGTGGTTGTTAAGGGCGTGTGCATGGGCCACCTCCTCCATGGTAACTGGCTGTGTTCTGAAGCGAGTGGATCGGGAACGCCGACGTGAACCCTGAACACTGTCGGTGGGGAGAGCTGCTGGTCTGCGCTCTTCCTCCAACATGCGGGTCCAAAGGGCCACACGTGCCCCCACACTGTTACTGTCCCAGGTCTTGTGTTTTTCATCCTGACTGCTACTAGAGCCTCCTGTGGTGCCACCCATCCATGGCACTAGTTATTGGAGCATATTAGGTCAGGTCAGGCAGAAGGAGATTGAATGGGGAAGTAACAGAACTTTTTCCTTTTTTATTTTCGTAAGTTATACCTCAAGGTTATAGGATAAGCAGAGTCAGGCTTTCCAATTGTGGGCACAGAATTTTTTTAGAGGAAATAATTCCAATGCTATATATGCTGTAAGGATTACCACAGTTTTGGTAAAGCCATTCTCCTGAACATGTTATTATGGATTAGTAAAATCTATGTGAAATATGAAATTCCTTTCAATATCTGTTTTGTTATGGGTACATTTTCATCCTAATTCTTTGTTGTTTTGTGTTAAAAGTCATGTCTTTCACTTTTATTACTACAGTCATTTATTATAAAGATAACATATTTAAATAAAGCCTAAATTAAAATTAATCATGAGCACAATTAAAGAGCAAAGAACCAATATTAATTAAACTTCATATAAAAAACCTGTGGTACTTTTATGATGCAAAGTAACTGAAAGACAGGATAACGTGTGATGGTGTGCCATATGGAAACTGCAGCAGCAGGTGGCAGTAGCAGCTTCATTCCGCCAGTATCACGTGACAGTATGACTTAAGGTTAAAGGGCCATGTCATAGCACAGGGCTAGTAGCAGGCCTGAAGCCTAAAACAACATGCACATGCAATAAAAAAGAAACTCAAGCTGACTGATCTTGTAGGATCACAGAATGAGTGTTTCAGATCAAAATGCGAGTTGGCATGAAATAGCTGCACCTTGTGGGTACCTCTAGAAAGTTATTGTCATGGGAGTTGCAAAATCAGTCAAATCAGGGTTGCCCACTATAACATTCCAACTCAAGGAAAGGTCTCTCTGGTAACTCACGTGATTCTCTTCGTGCTGGTGTGCAGTCCGAGTCGTGAGAGGCTGATGCAGAGTCAGAAGCGTCAGCCATTCTTGCTGCCTGACTCACCTCATCCTCTGTCACAGGTTGAGTTGCGTGCCTGGTGGGAGAATGGGTTGTAATTAACGAAGTTGTTCAGATTTTGGATATTCAGTGATTGACCATACATTATTATTTGTTTCTTAAAGCATCACATTAATTTATTTTCAAAAATAATTACAAAAGTAACCATAATTTTTCCACATTTGACGCATGTGATTGATGAAGCAAACTATTCTAAAGTTAGTGAAAAATTACACAATGATAAATACAGTTCACTTCACAAACACACAACTAGTGATAAGAGGTTGGCACATTATTGTTGATGTTACTACATATTGCAAAGAGATCACAAAGTGTGTACAAATTATGCAATACATACTACATGTGTAGCTTGAGAGTGAAAACACTAATATAAGCTGTGTAATCAACTCCTTTAAAAAGATATTTTATAATCAACAACTTTTGTATAAGAAATACAACAGTTTTGCGGAGGAAGAAGTAACAACTTTTGTATAAGAAATACATCAGTTTTGCGGAGGAAGAAGTAACAAAGAAAATAAGAGCGTTAGACAACTACTGTACATGAAGCACCTACTTTTATTGTAAAAATATATTAGTCTCTTACGTTTCAAAGAAGTTTGCTATCTTGTCACATCTAGGAAATGACATGAAATTCATATTACTTTCACTATATTCTATAAAGTTTTTAGAAAGAAAAAAAACTATGAAAGGACAAATGACAATGGTCAAGTTATCTATAGTGTATGAACTGTCTCTAGCTAAATGTCATAATCAAAACATTATTGTCAAACTTACATTTGGAGTATAAAAAAAAACAATCTGAGACATTTTCCAGTCATAATCAGAATAAACTGTGAAAATAAACAATATGAAGTTGATTTGGCATTTAGAAATAATAATTTATATTAATAAGTTCACTGACCTTGTTCCTCGTTCTCTTCTACTTCCAAAGCGTGTGGAACGAGTAGATCCTGAGCTCGTATCTCCAGGTTTCTTCTGCTCACGCTCCAACTGTAAGAAAGAATACACAAGAGCTGTACTTCAAACAAGCAAATGTATCAATGTCTGGCCCACATGGTCTCTACAACATCCTCATCCTATACCTGTCTTGGTTTTACCCTTTCATCTGCCTCTCCTGTCCTTTTCCATCCCTTTCTTTTCACATAACCATACTATTTCAACCTTACTCCTTTCCTTACTCCATGCCATCAACTACAATATTCTCACCTTAACTGATTCTAACATTCTTCTATCAGCCTGCTTCATTGGTCATTCCTCTGTGCCATATACCATTACTGACTAAATACAGTCTCCCTAGCCCACAGTTACACTTCTAATTCAGCACAGCATATACCACTTATATCTAAGTTTGCTCTATGTTGTTTTTCTTCTACCAATTACTACTACTTATGGGCCTCCTGTTTCATCTACTCTGTCTCCTAAATAACAAAAGAACTGTGTTCCCTGCATGTTTACAATTTCCTACCTTCATCATTCTTAGATTTTCACCCTCACTTGCTGATACCAGATTTCTACTACATTAGTGATAAAAAGTCTGTTTTTCTCCACAAGCTTCAATTCCTGAACACTTTTGTGAATCCAATTACTGCACTGTGTGCACCCAGTTTGAAGTCTAGTCCTTTTCACTCTTGTCATAATATTTGTCTTGCTAACATTCAACCTCAGCCCTTTGCTTCCTATCACTACATTTCCATCTCTTTCGTTCTCTCCTCAATTATTTCATCAGAAAAAATCATCAGCATACAATTCCTACAGTTGCTGTCACTTCTAATTCTAAGACTACAACAAAAAGCAATGGATGGAATACCAAATCCTGATGCACACCTACCATTACTTCAAAGCTATCTGACATTTCACAACCTATCATTACCACTGCTTTAAAAACAAAATCCAGAAAGAGAATTAAGAGTTTTAATATGTCTAGTAGAAATGAGTTTAGTGAGATTGCTCAACACAAATTTTAAGTACTTACAAAGAAGAGTATCAGTAACCTTGTGTAAATAGAATATGTACTAGCTAATTCAATTCTTTTGTACTTCCTGCCATGAAGACTTTTTGTTTTGATATATATATGATCAAAGCGAAGTAAAAAGGAGATAGCCATCCTTGTATGATTCATAGCATAGGGCAAACTAATTTATTTTCAATTTACCTGTGCAAAGAATGCAGCTCTCTGTGAAACAGAGGACGGGGTGTCGGGCGTGGAGTCAAGGCTGGAGGTCATGGCACTGTTGAAGGCCTCTACCACTGGACGGTCCAAAAATGCTTCGTTGATGGCCTCGGCACTCTCCCCTGTTGATGCTGGTTCTGCCACCAAGCTGTAGGCTCCGTTTCGCCTACTCTCTCTGAAAGGGCCGTTTGAGTCAGTAGCAATTGTGATAGTGACGATGGAACTGGTGAAAGAAGTAATACTAGTTGCAATATCTCAATTATAATAAGAACAACAATTGCAATGACAAATATAATAAAAATGGAAGTTATGGTACTAGTCGATTCGCTATCACAGTATTTACGTGCAAATAAGAGAAAATGAAACAAGACACATTAGTCAGGTTTTACCCTTAGTCAGATCATACCTTTCAGTCTCCGGTGTCCTGATGTTGTTTAGGAAGGCAGATGTGACCTTGGGTCGTGCCCCTGGACTGCGAGTGGGCGTTGGGGATCTCGGCGCAGGAGGTCGAACTGGCTCCTGTCGAGCGGCTTCCATGCCCGCCACGCGTTCAGCTACACTCAGAGGTCGCTCCCCTGACCGGGCCACTGTGGCGTCCTCCCTTTTGGTGAGAGCCACGAGGGAAGGACTAACGGGCCGCATAGGGGTGCTGTTGGGGGACTCCGCCTCAGCGTCACCGGGGCCTAATGACCGCCGAGATCTCAAGATTGCGCCCAGTTCGCTGTCCATTTGGTCGAAGCGTGCAGGTGAGTGTGCGCCGCGCTTCTTTAAAATGCCGTGCGCAGGAGTGGCGGTGGGCGCGGGGGGAGAGCGCCCCCTCATCCTGATTGCAGACTCAGGGGCAGAGTCACTTCTGACCCTGACACTAGGCAGGTCACCCTCTACATCTTCCCCATCGGACACATGAAGCCGCAGACGCACGCCGTCTGTGGTGTCTCGACGCTTGAGGATTGGACGTAACTCCCCCTCGCCTTCGCTGTCATATCTAGGCGACCTCTTAAGGATAGGATTGGGCGAGATGACGCCCTCTGAGGTAAGGTCCTCTCTCTGCTGCGACCACCCTTCAGGATGGATCTGGGTCTGTCATCCAGCTCATCGTCGGTCGAAGATTTTTTCTTCAAGATCGGACGAGGTTCGAAGTGTTCTAACTCCTCGGCGCTGCTCTTTTTCTTGAGGATGGGCCGAGGCTCACCCTCCTGCGCATCCAGACTAGAGGTGCGGGAGGATGTCTTACGCTTGAGGATGCCATGGGTGGTGGGGCGATCCGGATCCTCGCGGGGGCGGCGTTTCGGCTCGCCTCCGGGGAGTTTGTGCGCGGGGAATCCCCATCCAGGGAGCAGCGGCGCGGCCTGCACCTGCCGCTGCCTCGGTGCTCGGGGCTTCTGAGGGGAGAAGTGTCGGATCCCTCATCCTCTTCATCCTCGAGATGACGGTGCTGGAGACCAAGCACAACTTCCTCTGGCGGCGGAGAGACACTTTCGTCCATGAAGGCAACATAATCCGGGGGCCCTGAAGGTCCAGCGGGGGCGCCGGGGATTCTCTCGACCCCTGACGCCGCTTGGCTTTCTCTCTTTGTCTCCTTCTTCTTCACTTCCTTTTCATTAGCCATCCGCTTACTTTCTTTACCACGCCCTTCAGAGCCCCCGACCCAGTTTTTCTGGCCAGTGTCAGAAAGAACACCCGTGACGGCAGCTGGCGAAGGCTGAGCCCTTTCGCTAGCCGCTTCCATGCCTGCGGCGCCCAGGTCTCGACGACGCGAGGTGCCCGGCGACTCCCTCCTGCCCGAGGATGTCACAGTGGTCAGGTACTGCTCGCACTCGTGAACCATCGTGTCAGCACTCTCGGGGGTGACGGCTGCGTCCTCTGACAGGCGGTCCGCTCGATCCATGGCATCCCTGGCACGTGCCGTAAGGGCCTCCAGTCTCGAACTCATCACCTCCGCGTTTGGTAGGGAGGGGGAGGCCAGGGGCGGCGACGAGGCTTCGCCACCCTCCGCGTCTGATGTACCCGTGGGAGTAGAGATGTCACCCGCTCTCCCCCCACTGTTGCTGTCAATCTTGAGGTTCATGTCGGACTTGGAGAGGCGGTCGCCCTTCTTGGGCTTCTGCTGCTCCCGGAAAAGGTCGCTCTTGGGCCCGGTCGCGGCGCCGTTCGTGGTCTCGTCCCGCTTCTCCCTCCGCGCCGCGAGGAAGCAGGTGCCGGTGTCAGACGGCTTCCTCAGGGACGAGCGAAGAGCCGCGGGTCGGAGTCCCTCGGGGGCGAGGGGCGGCTTGTCCAGCACTACGGAGGACGGGCGGGATGTGGGCGGGGTGCTGACCACGCCGGGGGACGCTAAGGACGTGTTGTCTTTGGGGCGAAGGACGTCGGGAATATCGGGTTTCCTCAGCGGCGCTAGTTTGGGCGGAACCTTCCGTGTGCTGAGGCCCTCCTCGTTCTCCGAGGAAGCACTCACCCGGCGCGCGCTCGAGACGTCGCCGGTCACGCTCGCGCCGAAGAGAACCTGCTGGTGGGCGTGGCGGTTGTGGCGTGAGTCGAGGGTGGAGGGCGCGGACTGCGTTCCCTGAGGACTACCCAGGGCAGGCTGGGCGGGCTGGATGGGCTGGAAGGTGTTGGGGGGAGGCACCTGAAGGGGCTGGGGGGAGGGGTGCCTGCGGGCCGCGGGCGGAGAGGGCTGGCCGGAAGGACTGGAGAGGGGCTGGCTGGAGGCGGGAGGGCTGGGCGGGGGCGTGAGGCGCGAAACCACATGTCGCACCACCTCGGGGGTCTTGAGGGGCTCAGCGGCCGCCACCGAGGGCAGACCTCCGCCCACCGGCGACAAGGGCGTTCGGCGCCGCCTCCGTCTGGGGGTGTCCTCTGGAACGGCGAAAAGAAGTGTCAGCAACAAAAGGAACTGGGTCGAGCAATCAAAACAATAGAGCAGGTAAATTATCTACTTATAAGTGACAAACCTCAACAATACAACAGAATATCATTGCATGTATTTGTATTATATACTATCTCTAATGTGTATACAAACACGCAAACACACACACACAAATTTATATATATCGGACCGCTATAATTATCAATGATAACCATGTTATTTACATTCATTAATATTTCCATTAATAGTATCATGGCGACATCATTCAGCAATCACTAAAATCAGGATGAAATAATGTTTTTGAGTTGTTTTTTCCGTCCACATCAATCATCCCCCTCCTTCCCCCCACTCCCTCTCCCTCCCTTCGTCCTTTTACTCTCTTGGTCTCTCTCCTTCCCTCTCTTCCTTTCTCTTTGTCTCTGTCTTCCTCCCTTCTTCTCTTCCTCTTTCTAGCTTCTTACCCTATCCTTCCCTCTCCCTCTCTCTTACCCTCACCCCCCTTCCTCTTTCTCACTCTCCCTCCCTTCCTCTCTTTCTCTTTTTAATCTTCCTCCCTACCCCCTTCCCTCCCTCGCCCTCTCCCCCTCCCTTCCTCTTTCACCCTCTCCCTCTCTTCGTTTCTTTCTCTCCCTCCTTCCATCCCTCCCTTCCTCTTTCATCTTCTCCCTCTCTTTCTCTCCCTCCTTCCATACCTCCCCCTCCCCCTTTCCCTACCTCTCCCTCTCCCCCTCCTTCCCCTTTCACCCTCTCCCTCTTTTCGTCTCTTCCTCTCCCTCCTTCCATCCTTTCCCCACCTCTCCCCCTCCCCACCTCCCACCTCCCCCTCCCTCCCACTCCCCCTTCAATATCCGTCAACCTCCTTTTAAAAAAATCCCTTCACCGCACACGAAGAGCCTCCACGACCGCCCCGCCCACAGCCCCGACTTCGGCCTCGACCCGCCCACACGCACGCCCACCTCGCCCACGCCCAAGGTCTCCGTCTAGGGCCCGCGTGCTGCCATCTGCCGTGCGTAGATACGTGCGCGTCTAATATGCCCCCCCCCCCCCTGTGGTTGGGGAGGTGAGGAGGGGAGGGGAAGGATAGAGGGATAAAGAAAGAGATAGGAGTAATGAGAGAAGTAGAAAAGAAAAGGAGATGAAGGGGCGGGAAGAGAGTAGTTTGGGGTATGGTAGAGTAGGGCAGGGTAGGGTACGGTACGGTAGATATGGTATGGTAAGGTAAGGTAGCGTAGGGGAGAGAGAGAGAGAGAGAGAGAGAGAGAGAGAGAGAGAGAGAGAGAGATAGAGAGAGAGAGAGAGAGAGAGAGAGAGAGGGAGAGAGGGAGAGAGAGAGAGAGAGAGAGAGAGAGAGAGAGAGAGAGAGAGAGAGAGAGAGAGAGAGAGAGAGAGAGAGAGAGAGAGAAGAGAGAGAGAGAGAGAGAGAGAGAAACAAAGAGAGAAACAGAGATGGAGGACACAAGATGAGAACAACCAGAGATGACAGGAGGACGGGAGAGGAGGGAAAGAAGGAGGGAGGGAGGGAGAGCTAAAAGTACGAAGATTTTTTTTCTTTTTAGTTTACGTAATTATAAGCTATTAACGGAAGACCTATCGCTGCGCCCACTCACATTCCCTCCCGACACGCTTGACGTCATGGTGTATTCTCTCTCCTCTCTCTCTTCTTCTCTCTCTCTCTCTCTCACTCTCTCTCTCATCTCTCTCATTCTCTATCTCACTCTATCATTCTCATTCTCTCTCTCTTCTATCATTCTCCTTTTTATCCTCGTATTCCTCCTCTCCTCCTCCTCCTTTTTCTTCTTCATCTCTTCCTCCTCCTCCTCCTCCTAAACATCCAATTATTACGCCCAATCGCCAAAATTACGTCAGACCTTCCCACGTCACAGACAAAACTCGTCACATCCTTTTTTTAAAAGCCCTGGCGGCGGAGCGAAAGGCGACATTCCAGCCTCACCTTTACAGTCAAAATTATACGTTGTTTACTGTTATCTACGGTGACTTTTCTCCACCGTACTCCGGCTGTAAGGGAAAGCTGAGGAACTGTTTTTTTCTTCTCTTAACACGAAGGGAATTAAAGACACGATATTGCCTTGAATAGATACTGATAATTCTGGACATGGACTATATGCTCTTTAAATGTCAGGTATATAGACTTGTATCTCCGCTGCACCTCTAGCGGTTTGTTTTCAACATGTACGCGTGCTCTCTCTCTTTCTCTCTCTCCCTTCCTTTACTTCTCCCTCTCCCTCCCTCCCTCCCTTTACCCCTTCCTCTCCCTCACCTTTCGTTCCCTCTCTCCTCTCCCTCACCCTCCTTTACCCCTTCTCTCCTCACCCCCCCTTTACCTCTCACCTTTCTGCTCCCTTTACCCCCTCCCTCACCCTCCCTTTACTCCCTCCCTTTACTTTTACCTCACCTTTCGTTTAACCCTCCCTTTATCCCTCCCTCTCCCTCTCTTTCCCCCCCTCTCTCTGTGCTGTCGCTTGTGCGCGCGCGTACACCCGCTTACGTCTGTCTGCTTCTCGCTCTCTTTCCCTCACCGCCAGACATAAAAAGCCAGAAAGGAACACACACTACGGCTGTGTATGCAACATCCTCAGTGGACCCTTGTATTCACCCGGACATTCAATATTATCTTATACTAGTGTGTTACATGTCCGCTTCCCATCTCCTCCCCTCTCTTTTTTCTCTTTCGCCTCTCTTTCTCCCTCTCTTCGCTGTTTGTTTGTTTGCACACAGTCTTCTTTTTTTTCCATTTCCGTCTTTCTATCTCCCTATCTATCAAGCTAGCTCCTTTTTCCCTCTTTCCCTCTTCCTCTCCCGCTACACCCCTCTCTCTCTCTCTCGCTCCCTCTCCTTTTTCTCTCTCTCTCCTCTTTCTCTCCGTCCTCTCTGTCCCTCCCCCCCCTCTCTCTCTCTCTCTCTCTCTCTCTCTCTCTCTCTCTCTCTCTCTCTCTCTCTCTCTCTCTCTCTCTCTCTCTCTCTCTCTCTCTCTCTCTCTCTCTCTCTCACTCCCTGCCACACTCTCTCGAGTGCAATCCTTGCCACTTCCCCGGGTTGCGGAGCTGTTGTAAAGGTTTACCAAGTATCGCGACAATAACACGGTGAATAGAGTCTCTTTATCGAATGTTGTCAATTTTTGTCTGTGCTGCCGTGGCCTCAATCTGCGTTCGAATTCTCGCACGCTGACTTCCTCCTCGTTGTTTCTTTTTATTCTATTTATTTTTTCGCTTCATTTTCCTCCCCAGTGAAGCCTTTGGAAGCAACTAGTTTGTAAATGTACAAAAATATTCCACATTAACCTAAACTTCCAACAGACAAGAAAATGCAGAGAAATCAGTCGAAGATTTGACAAAGCAAAAACAAAAAGAAAGAAAAAAATTGCGCGTTCGAATCCCTTGCCGAGCGCCATCGAATTCGCAGCGTTATTTTTGGGGTCCAGGCGAGTTTTTTTTACTCCCTTCGTATTCACTCGAGACGACTTCGCTTCCGCATCAATACACGCAGTTACGGATTTTATTCTTGTGATTAAACGTTCTTCTTTCGTGATTTCAGTAACCCATAATCACAGTTATACAACAATGCCAATGGAATACGGAACAGATGAAGAGGAAGAGAGGAAAATAAAGATTAAGCCAATGAATTAGAGAAACAAAACATTACGATCAGACCGAACAATTAATCAAGCTATGGTTCTCGAGCCACAGATCAGTTAGCGAGACCTTGTCAACCAGCCGCAACCTGACACCTAATAAGACCTTTCGTACCGTTTTTTTTTCCTTCTTCCTGTCACGCCCATTGCAGGAAGACAAGACTGAGCTTAAACAGAACAATAATGACCGGGTCCTTCGTCGGCGTAGCGGCACTCAAACCTCGTTCTGGCATTTAGTGAGATGCAGGAGGGCCAGTCTGAAGTCTGCTGGGGTAGGGGGAGAGGGAGGAGGGGAGGAGGGGGGAGGAGAGGAGGAGAGGAGGGAGAGGAGGGAGGGTAAGAGTGGGCGTGGGGCATGGGGAACGACGGAGGATGGGGGGGGGGTAGAGAGACGAAGGAAAGAGTATATGTGACGTAATGGCCGATGGATGGAAGGAAAAGGGAGACGAGGGGAGATGTAACACAATATAAAGTGATGTGATACATTATGACAATGAAAAAAAAAAATTATGATGATAATAATAATACTAATGTAAGTAATAATGATAATATCAATAATATAATAATAATAACAATAACAACAACCATAAAACTCATGATAGTAACATAAAAAACACACAAGAGAACAGCACTCGGCGCGGCTCATGCGACCCTCATCAATGCCGACTCTCTCGGGCTTCCACGTCCTAATATGCACAAACACCAACTCAAGTCAATAAATAAACAAACAATGCAACCAAATTGTATGCTCGTATTCCCTCCCTCCCCTTCGCTCTTGGTTCTTTACTCCTTCCCTCCGTCTCCCTTCTCTCTCTTCGTTCTTTGTTCATTCCCTCCTTTTCCCTTTTCCTCTTCTTTGCTCTTTCTCTCCTTCTCCCTTCTCTTTCTTTTGTCTTTGCCCCTTCCCTCCTTTTCCCTTTCCCCTCCCTTCTTTGGTCTTTCCTCCTTCTCCCTTCTTTTTTTTCTTTCTTTGCCCCTTCCCCCCCTTCCTCCTTCTTTTCCTTTCCCTTCTCCCTTCTCTTTCTTCGTTCTTTGCCCCTTCCTCCTTTTCCCTTTCCCCTCCTTCTTTGGTCTTTCCTTCTCCCTTCTCTTTCTTCGTTATTTGCTCCTTCCCTCTTCTCCTTATATCTATTCGTTCTTTTCGTTCTTTGCGCTCTTTCTTTGCTCCTTTTCTTGCTCTCTTTGCTCCTTCCCTCCTTTTCCCTTTGCTCTCCCTTCTTTAATCTTTCCCTTCTCCCTTCTCTTTCTTCGTTATTTGCTCCTTCCCTCCTTCGCCCTTACATCTCTTCGTTCTTTGCTCCTTCCCTCCTTCACCCTTCTCTCTCTTCCCTCTTCGCTCTTTCCCTCCTTCTCCCTTCTATACACGAAAACCAGAGAAAAATGCTAATATGGGCGAAAATATAAATTCAAGGAGTAATGAATGTTTAGTGTGTTCGAATGCATATATGTAAGGCTATTGTGGAAGAGGGAGGATGTGGGAGGAAGCAAGAGGGATTGGGAAGAGGAAATGGAGAGTGGGAAGGAAGGAGGGAGAGGTGAGAAGGAAAAAGAGAGGGAGAGAGGGAGAGAAGGGAAGATAGATGGTTGGAGAAGGAGACTGAGATAGAGATAAAGATAGATATAGAAATATAGAAATCTATATATATATTGATAGGAGAGAGAGAGAGAGAGAGAGAGAGAGAGAGAGAGAGAGAGAAGAGAGAGAGAGAGAGAGAGAGAGAGAGAGGAGAGAGAGAAAGAGAGTGAGAAGAGAGTGAGAGACAGAGTGAAAGAGAGAGAGAGAGAGAGAGAGAGAGAGAGAGAGAGAGAGAGAGAGGAGGAGAGAGAGAGAGAGGAGAGAGAGAAGAGAGAGAGAGAGAGAGAGAGAGAGAGAGAGAAAGAGAGAGAGAAGAGGCGCGAGAGAAGAAGAGAGAGAGAGAGAGAGAGAGAGAGAGAGAGAGAAGAGAGAGAGAGAGAGAGAGAAGAGAGAGAGAGAGAGAGAGAGAAGAGAGAGCGAGAGAGCGAGAGAGAGAAGAGAGAGAGAGAAGAGAGAGAGAGAGGAGAGAGAGAGAGAGAGAGAGAGAGAGAGAGAAGGAGAGAGGAGAGAAGAGAGGAAGAGAGAGAGAGAAGAAGAAGAGAGAGAAGAAGAGAGAGAACAGAGATAGAGCGCGAACAGAGAAAGAGAGAGAAAGGAAGGAGAGAGGAGCAAAGAGAAAGAAAAAACACCACAAAAAGTGAGATACGAAAAAAAAGAAGACGCAAAAGTACCCAGCGCCTTTTTTATACGTTCGCTCTGTTTACAAGCATAACTGAGCAGTAAAAGAGACATACTGTCTACGGCCAGACTCCCAAAAGCGTAAAATACGAGCGCACTTTCGAAGGCTTTGAATCCGAAAACGAAAATTGCATCATGCCGAGAAGGAGCCGCGACGCACCATCCTAAATACTCCGCAATTAAGCCTTAAACTGCGCGCATCTCGACCGTTATTCATTTTGCAATTGCGGTGATATAGTTTTCATTCTTTGCAAAAAAAAAAGAAGGGGGGGGGGGAGGATGCGGAAATTCCTGACACCGCCAGACTTTATTGCAAAGAACGAGGACCATAAATCACTACTGCACTCTATTCCAGACATTATAAATCATATTCCAATATCAATATGTGCGCCGAAAGAAAAAATATTTCTCTCCGCCTCCTCATCTCACACTCTCTCCGTGTTCTTCTTTCTCTCTCTCTCTCTCTTCTCTCTCTCCTCTCTCTCTCTCTCTCTCTCTTCTCTCTTCTCTCCTCTCCTCTCTCTCTCTCTCTCTCTCTCTCTCTCTCCTCTCTCTCTTTCTCTCTCTTCTCTCTCTCTCCTCTCTTCTCTTTTCTATCCTCTCTCTCCTTCTCTCTCTTTCTATCCTCTCTCTCCTCTCTCTCTTCTATCCTCTCTCTCCTCTCTCTCTTTCTATCTCTCTCTCCTCTCTCTCTTTCTATCCTCTCTCTTCTTTCCTCTTTCTCTTCTTCTCCTCTCTCTCTCTCCTCTCCCTCTCTCTCTCTCTCCTCTCTCTCCTCTCTCCTCCTTCTCCTCTCTCTCCTCCTCTCTCTCTCTCTCTCTCTCTCTTTTCTCTCTCTCTCTCCTCCTCTCTACTCTCTCTCTTTCTCTCCTCTCTCTCTCTTTCTCTCTCTCCTCTCTTACCCCCTCTCCCTGTCTCCCTCGCACACATACACACACTAGCACACCTGCATACATGCATATGTATAAATGTAAAACTATGCATATACTTACGCGTGTACATATATACCGAGTGAGTGGAAGAGAAAGAGAACAGTAGATAGAACGAGGGAGAGAAAGAGAGAAAGAAAGGGAGGGAGGAAGAGAACGATAGATTAGAACGAGGAGAGAAGAGAAAGAAGGAGGGAGGAAGAGAGGGAGGGGCAGAAAGAAGAGGGGGCAGCGAGAGAGAGAGAGGGACAGAGAGAGAGAGAGAGAGAGGGAGAGAGAGGAGAAGAGGGAGAGAGAGAGAGAGAGAGAGGACTAAGAGAGAGAGAGAGGCCAGAGAGAGGAAGAGAGAGAGGCAGAGAGAGGAGAGAGAGGCGAGAGGGAGAGAGAGAGAGAGAGGCAGAGAGAGAGAGAGAGGCAGAGAGATGAGAGAGAAGAGGAAGGAGAGAGAAAGAGAGAGAGGAGAGAGAGAGAGAGAGAGAGAGAGAGAGAGAGAGAGAGAGAGAGAGAGAGAGAGAGAAGAGGAAAGAAAGAAAGAAAGAAAGAAAGAAAGAAAGAAAGAAAGAAAGAAAGAAAGAAAGAAAGAAAGAGAAAGAGAAAGAGAGACGAGAATAATAATAATAATAATAATAATAATAATAATAAATAACATATGATCATAATAATCCAAATAAATGACAATAATTAGAAACCAGAAACCAGAAAGAAAACCCCAACGACACACTCACCCCGCGGGCCCGATCCCAAGCCAAGCCCACCCGCGGGCCGCTCAGCCCAGCCTTACCCCAGAACTGGAGTCGCTGCAGGAACATAGTCCTCGAATAGGCGCAGCTCGTGGTCATGGCGGCGAGGAATCCTTCAATCCTTCGCTCCGATGTGTTTTAGGAGGCCGAAGAAGGGGTAGGGGGGATGACGAGGCTTCCTCCAAGGGGACTCACACCACGTCAAGGCGTTTGGTTCTGTTTTGCATTATTCTTGACTTTTATGCCTGATTTTCTCTTTGTGCGTCTATCTTTTTATCGTCCTTGTCTCTCGGCGTGACCTTCTTCTCTGTTTAGATTCGAATCGTTCTTCCCCGTTAACGCAATCTAGGGTCACGACAAGGTCACGGGGGTTCACGTGCCTGTCTTGGTCATCGGGTCCCGTCACGTTCCATCCGCCGAGACACGTGGAATCCGAGCAAGAAGTCACGTGCGAGTAACACCCAAACACGCATACACTCGCGTCTCTTACTCTGCAGCAGACATGAACTTCACGTCACGTCACGTCAGCTCATGCCGGTGATTCATTAAGACATGTTCGCAGCTCGGTCGGCACGTCAGGATGTCTCAGTATCACTCACGACACTGCCTGGTGCCACACTGCTTGCGTTCACGGGCTGGGGTCGCGTCGAGGAGCACTCTACCTGCACACGTTATCGCTCATAACCAGGCTAGATAACAGACAGACAAACACCGGTTAAATTAGCGGTTTATACGGATCTCCAGGGATAATAAACAAATAAACAGCGACATGTGTTCTGGCTTTGCTTAACGACTTGCGTCTTGTTTTTTCCTTCCAACGTTGCGTCTGATTAACCTAATTATCATTTTTGTTTTTCTTTTTCTTTTTGTATTTTGCTCACATGCTCAGACGCCACACGCACCACGTGACCACTATGACGAAACACAAACCACGTGACTACTATGACGTAATATAAACCACGTGACTACTATGACGTAATATAAACCACGTGTTCCCTATGGCAACAAGATCACGTGATCATTATGGCGTCTCCTTCGACCACGCCGAACCAGATTTATCTCTCCTAAAGGGGAAAGGCGCAGCAAAAAGCGAACGGAGGGGGAAGAAGCAAGGGGATAAGGAACTGGTGAAGAGGAAGAGGAAAAAAATGGAAAGGTGAAATAAATAGGGGTTAAAAGAAGATGAAGAAGTAAAAGTAGAAAAGGAAGACGAAGAGGAGGAGGAGGGAGGGAGAGAAGAAGGAGAAGATGAAGAGAAAAAGAAAGCAGCAAGAAGAGAGAAGAAGACGAGGAAGAAGAAAAAGAAGAAATGTAAGATAAAAGCAAAAGAAACTGTGAATGAAACAAAAATGAAGAGAGCTGCAAGGAGAAGCGAAACACCGAAAAGTGCTAAGGAAAGAGAAAGACGGAAGAAGAGGAATAGGCAAAGACACGACCGAGAAACAGGATGGAGTGCTCGGGTTCAGGATAATCCGTGCAACACATGAGTCTCCTCGATGGCTTGGGCTTTGTCTATTTCTCTCTCTCTCTCTCTCTCTTATGTCTGCCTTTCTGTCTCTGTCTCTGTCTCTATCTCTCTCGCTCTGCCTCTTTTCTCTCTCGCTTCTGCCTCTTTCTCTCTCGCTCTGCTTCTCTCTCTCTCTCTCTCTCTCTCTCTCTCTTCTCTCTCTCTCTCTCTCTCTCTCTTCTCTCTCTCTCTCTCTCTCTCTCTCTCTCTCTACCTCTTCTCTCCGTCTCTCTCTTTCCCCCTCCTCCTCTCTCCCTCTCCCTCCTCTTTCCCCCTCCCTCCCCGCTCTCTCTCCCTCCTATCCCCCCCTTCCCTTCTCCCCCTTCTCCTCTCTCTCTCACTCTCTGCTCCATTCTCTCCCTCTCCCTCCCTCCTCTCTCACTCTCTCACTCTCTCTTTCCCAGTCCCTCTTTCTCTTCTCTGGCTCACCTTCACGCCTCGTTGGTTCACGTGTAAACAAACATGTTTATATGCATTTCGGACACGGGTGGCCATGTATGCGTCAGCGCAAATGCTAATAAACTATTATGGAAGCTCATTCGTGTATTCAAGACTGTTGAAAGACATAATCAATTAAAAGCACACACGCACGCCCAAAAATACTGTACACATAAATCTTTCTCTTTCTCTCTCTCTCTCTCTCTCTCTCTCTCTCTCTCTCTCTCTCTCTCTCTCTCTCTCTCTCTCTCTCTCTCTCTCTTCTCTCTCTCACACACACACACACACAAACAAATAAAAACACACACAAACACAATTTACGATATGGCAAAAAAGATGACTCAGCACGAGCTACACACATACCGTTCTTGCCCATTTTCACACAATAACATACAAAGAGACAATTCGTCCCACCCTTACGCTTTTGTGTTCTCTTTACCTCCCCCCTCCCCCTCCCCCTCCCCTCTCCCCTTTCCACTCCCTCCCCTCGCCCCTTTTAAAACGGATGCCATCAAAAGCAGAACCCCTGACCCAGTCCCCCCCCCCCCCCACATCTCCCTACTCCTGCACCTGCCATGAGCACAGGTACTGATACATCTCCCTGAACATACAATACAAGCAATCAAAAGCGAAGAGAGAGAGAGAGAGAAGAGAGAGAGAAGGAGAGGAGAGAGAGAGAGATCAGACGAGAGAGAGAGAGAGAGAGAGAGAGAGAGAGAGAGAGAGAGAGAGAGAGAGAGAGAGAGACGAGACAGCACGGAGAAGAGAGAGAGACAGAGAGAGAGAGAGAGAGAGAGAGAGAGAGAGGAGAGAGAGATGAGAGAGAGAGAGAGAGAGAGAAGAGAGAGAGAGAAGACAGGTCAATAAAATGTATAAATAACATCTCCCTTGTTCCTGCACCTGTCATGAGCACAGGTACTGATACATCTCCCTGAACATTCAATACCAAACAATCCAAAGAAAAAAAAACAAAGTAAAATAGGCAATAAAATAAATAAATAACATAAGCGTCTCTACCATAATAAGCCATGGCACTAAAAAAAAAAAATAAAACACCTGCAATAAACATCTCCCGGGCGCACTTGTTCCGCTTGGCGCCATCTGGCTTCGACCCACCTGTTGCTGTTTCTTCCCCTTCCCCTACCCCCTTCCCCCCCCTCTTCATCTTACGGGAAAAGAAGATAAATCCCCAACAAGACGTCGGGATTATCTTGAGAGAAAGATAGCTGTCTTGCTTAAGTCCGTGCGCTCTCGCTCTCTCTTTCTC